TTGTTCATATAGCGTAATATCCAATCAGTTTCTATGTTTTGAGGTGTTCAATTGAACAAGAAAGTTGTTATCGTCACCACCCAATAAGATTGTATCGTTACCGATCTCAAGAACATGCGATATTGAAGTTATCGTTTCACCATGCGCATCATGAAAACTCTCAATAATTGAGCCATTCTCTGGATGCATAAGTAATACCATTCCGTACATTGGATTCAGCCAGTCCAATAACGTTGCAAATAACCACTGAGGGAACAACACAGCTACTAGGTTTCTCAACCAAGGCCGTGTTGTAATCCAACGATCGTCGTCTAATCGCACTTGTCCTAGTGGTATCCACAATGAACCAGTCATTGCAAGTCTTATATTATCGGGATAACCGGGTAGGTTATCTGCGAGCGTAGAATAATTTGATGAAGGATTCGAATCGAAACAATGCTTCAGAATCCTCAAATTACCCATCTCAGCAATCAGCACACAACGTTGATCCGTGGTCAGTTGTATGCCATTTGGGTATTGTAGGCGATCAATTAATACGCTGAGACGTCGCTTGCGTTCATCGAATACAAGTACTCTACCGTCGGCACCATGCTCATTCATCGCGTACAAACAGTCTCGATCAGAGAATTTCATTGATGGTTCTGAGAGTATAATTTTTCCGTCTTCTGTTTCATCAAAATCATTGAAATGCCTCAATGGTAGCGCATTTGATGCATTCCACAGTTGTGTTCCATTGCTCAGTATCATTGTTCGTTTACCATCCCTTATGTCCAGTTCATACAAGCCGTGATAAGCATCCGCTACCAACAGAACATTAGTGTTGTGCTTCCGAAACCTCAATCCCAAAGGACGCCCACAAAGTGGCTGCATCAAATAGCTTCCATCACATCCCTGCACATCGTTGATAGGTTCGAATTTATGCACAATCTCCATCCCATATCGATTTTTTTCCATCTTCAACCCTACGATGTGACCTGTCTTAAGTCCCGTATAAACGAAATCAGAAGATATGTGCAGCGCTAACGATTCGGGCCCGTATAAAACGCCTTCGAGAAGGCGATCGCCATTAGAAAGTAAGCGATTCGGGCTTAGCGCACCTGTTAGAGTAGGTGGAGCAGGCAATGCGAAATCAACTGATTGGTTACACTTGTCGGCAAGAACAACTAGCAGAAGCAGAACTATCGCAGTGAGTGATGAAAATATTAGCGTGTTGGGAAATTCGTGAATGTTGAACCATTGCAAAGCTTCACTGAATTGTCGATAGATGATGCAGCGCGGATGTTTTGCGTTCGAAATGGCATTTGATTCAGCCGATAAAGGTGGCTTCTGACGATTTATTGATCTGTTTCGATTACTCAGACTGGTTGAATCCAACATCTCGCATGAGAACAATTTTTCGGAATTTCAATTATTAATAATATAACATTGGCGGTAGATGACTGTCGCAATAGAGAACTATTCAGTTGGGAATACTATGGGCGAATGTGGCAACCAAAACAATCTGGTTACGAAGCTTAGTGTTGTTGTTGGAACCGAAATTATCGTAAGTGTAACTAATTAAGCCATCGGGAAACAGATATCTTTTGTTGTCGGGCATATTTATTTCAATAGCCATTCCTATCATCTTCGGTCAACTATCGGCAATGTATCGCATCATTATAATGACGAGAAGACAACATGAAACANCATTTATTGATGCCGCAAAATTTCAGTACATTCATTGATTCGCTAGTGGATACAACCAGTGGTTTACTGATTATGTTGAGTACATGGGCGATTAAAAACACGGATACGTTCAAGTATCCTCGAGGAAGAGCACGCCTTGAGCTGGTCGCCGCGTTAATGTGCTCAACAATTATGGGAGTTGCAAACATTATGATGATCATTCAATCGGTCGAATCGGTTGTCAACGGAACAGTTTAGTTGATCGCGTATTTCGGTTACTACTACTACTGTATTGATCAACGTTCTTTGTAAAAGAATTGTCGGAATGCTTATAGTGCTGGTGCGGATGAGTACGAGATGGAATTGAAGTGGTTTTTTGTAGATGTGAAACGCTTTCTCTAACGATTCATTGTAATCAGTTGAGTTTCTACAGGTGGATCCGAGCGCAAATCTGCCAACAATATCGCTGATTGTTGGTGGATGTTTAGCGAAAATTATTCTTTTGACGGTCTGCTACCGACATGGCACACCAAGCAGCCGTGTCAGTTTGTACTCTATACGTTTGTTTTTTTCATTTTGCCTTATCTTGAAAAGAGCACTCTCTTTACACGGAGAGAGACTGTTTTGGCAGTAAATAAACACTAATGAATTATGTAATCCATTTCACATGCAACAAAAAATGATGGCAAGCTTTTGTGGGAGGGCTTGTTGACATGTTTTCAATAAAATGTGCTCTGGTCAATTTTAATTTCAGATTTTGGCATTAGATCAACGAAATGATATTTTAACAAGTGTTGTGGCGTTAAGTTGTGCATTCATCGGTGATTATTATTGGGTATATGCTGATCCGATTGGAGCGATCTGCGTGTGGTGAATGATTTCAGATGTTGCACTAACCACTGTTTGAAATTTGATTGCGTCCAAAACTCTCTAATCTGAAACTAAAACTCGATTCACAGTTGAGTTTTTAAATGCTTGCGAGCGAATTCGGCGAGCCTAGGGCGAAGCAATCGAAGCATCTGACTGTCAGATGATGAATTTTTTCACATCATATTCACAGATGCTCAACTCACGACGAGAATATTTGCACAGAGTGTGCGCTATCGAATTGATAAGGGTTTTATTGTCAAGTTCAGAAGAACTTAATGAAAATGAAAGTTTTCGGAATGTGTTTCAGTACGTTCATCGCAATCTCGTGGTTCCACAATGCGTTGAATCATATTCCAATGATGGTCGGACGACGTGCACAACAAGAGTATTTGTCGCGAATAATGCGTATCTGCATTAAACACGATTCGCACATCAAATGTCTCGACCACGTGATGGTCTACCATACTGGAGCTGAGGCGATTGTTGAGGTGCACATTGTGCTCGACGAGCATTTACCGTTGCGTATTGCACACGACATCATTGAATCGCTCACCAAAACACTCACAATGCTACCGTTCGTTGAACGTGCATTTGTACACGGCGATTATCGATGCGATGGAGATTGGCAAATTTAACTCTCATCCGTTCTTGATCTCAGCAGCTAAAATCAACGCGGTTACGTGGTTGGTTATCTATTGAAAAATTAATCTCATAAGAGAGTTACTATTTACTACATTCTTGTTAGTAATAACAGCGATATGAAAGTAAAATCCAAGCTAGAAATGCCAACATCTAAAAAAATCCACATATCGATAGCAAATTATTTATTTCCAATACATTTCGACTCTAGACGCTAGCCGATTTCAAATGCCGTACCAGTAATAGTTGTTGTTTTTAACGATTATTTTTATGATATTAATCTTATTGTTGATAATATTTTCGTTGTTGTTATCGGTATTAATAACGTGTTCACAATTGTTGATACAGTCAGTCCTATTAACCGTTGTTTGAGGAATAGTTGTTAATGTTTTACTGTTTACTAACTGATTGTGAGTACATTTTCTTACATTCGAATCATCTCATATCTGAACGGTTAATTGAATATTGTGTTAAAAAATATACGACAATTGTAAGGAATATACATAAAAATGTAAGCATATCAATAAAAATATACTATGAATGCAATATGATAATAATGCAATGATGAATTGTCATCGTCAATAATCACAACGAAACAATCTCGCTTCCCATGTGTGACATTCATGGTGTGAATAAAGTAAGTAACTTTGCGCTCTTACATATCAATGTTCCACTGCGAAAAAACCCACCCGTATATGCATATGCATGTCTTGCCACAGTTTCACTTCATTGCTAAACGCAAAACGTATTTATATGGCTCATTGCGTTGCTGATGTTATTATATTCAATTAACATGGTTCAATATATTGGTTGCTTTTTAACTGTTTCACTAGCGTTCTGAATGAGTGGCACACGGAAACGTACTTGTTTATTAGTGAACTCAAAGTAGAAACTTGAGTGATATCACAAAGATGGCACATCTTACGCAGTAATTGAAGAAAAATTTGGTGTGGGAGAAGCAACAAGATCTGAAGTCAAGACCACTGAACAAGAAATACGACAAAGTTGTAAAAATATTCGGCGCAGTTGTAAAAATCCTTATTGTTAGCATAACTTATAAAAAGGCTCAACTGAGCAATTATATTGAAAAGCTGGCAGCAGATAAATGCAGCCACTAATCATTGAAGTAATGAAACAAATGTGCGTAGAAAATAACTAATAAGTGAAATAAACGAGTTTCGATCGGGGTGAAAGTTTTGGCCGCAACATACTGTGCTAATGTTAAAACTAAAGGAGCTGTTAGCATGAACTGCTGACCACAGAGATTGTTGCTGGAAGAATAAAACTGCTTTTCAACATTGCGGAATGTTGAAATGAAGTTTCATTCGCAAATATGACTGCATTAACAAATTAATAAGGATTAACGA